AGTCAATAGAAGTTTTTCCATTGCCTCCAGTGGGCTTTGGATCACACCATAAATAAGTAATACTGAAAATACTAAATACAGAGAATATTCTCCCTGAGGCTAGTCAACTGCAATTTTGCCTTTACTGACTGTATCTTGGAGATATACTGCTCAAAGGGTGCTTAGCTTTCGTCTGTCTTCATGGTGAAATTAAATGACATTTTTACTTGACGTGCTCCAAGCACCAAACATTAACTAGCCCTCATTCAGCCCCTCTCCAAGGCCCGGCCCCTCCAAGATACCAGTTTATCAGAGACAAGCAAAAGGAGAGAATTTTGTTTCTGAGAGAATTTTGTGAATTTTTTCACCCCTGAGATGCAGCAGGGCACCTGCCCATACGAGCTGCAGCAAAGCTGAGACAGAAGGGGTAGCAAGCAGGCATGTGCATCAAAAAGAATGGGAAGAGGGATGGGTCTGATAATCTTTGGAGGTGTTACTTTTGAAAGACTTATAAGAACAGAGCTGAAAACCTCTAGTTAAAAAATTAAAGATTTTTTTTTTAATTCTGTACACATCAGTGAAGGTGTGCTCCTTGAGAAATGCTCTTTGAAAAACTCAGTTACTTTAATAATAATAATACTTAGATAAGCGCTAACACTCTTCATCCATAGAGCTCAAGTTCCTCTATAGAGGAGGTGGTATCATCTATCCCCGGTTTACAGATGGGAAAACTGAGGCATGCAGAAATTAAGTGACTTGCCAAAGGTCACCCAGCAAACCAGTGGCAGAGCCAGGAATAGAACCCAGGTCCCTAACCACTGGGCCACACTATTTAAAATTCAAGTTGCTAGTGTCCCTTTAAGAGAAATCAACTAGTTCTCCTCTTTCCCCCCAACTTTGCTCACATTTGGTGCGTGTGAATTCTGGTGCTGAGAGGTGTTACAGAACATTACAAAGGCACATGATCTTGTGAACCCAGTGCATGATTCCCCCCATCCTCAGTTTAATTTCAGCAGATTCATATTTTCTACTAGATGGAACTATAGGTGGGTTTCCCCCCATTTATAGCTTCCTGCTTTGAGGACACTGGATGGTTTGCTTTTCAGAGTTGATGGAGGGAGTGCAAAGCCTTTTCTCCCTCCAGATCGCAGGTCTGAATCTGGTCCAAGTTAGCAATAACCAAAAATCTCCTATCTCGTGGCAGTTTCATGACCTTTGTTACACAAGTTCACTGCAGTTCAGTTCTTAGTGGACTGCACACTGAAAACCACCGTCTAATTGGTGTCCTTAGCAGCAGTCTGGATAAAGAGACTAAGATTGAATTGATATTGAAAGCATGCTATCCCCGGCCTTAGATCCCTTCTGTTCAGGGTCAGCATGGTTCAAGTTAGAGAAGTTTGCCTTGCTACTGCTTATGCTGTCCCTTAGCAGTGTATCACAATGGCCTGCAGTTTACAGGTTGCTGACAATCCAGCATCATTCACAAGCCCTGAATTCAGTATATACCTAAAGCAGCATCTCAGCCTCTCCATTAACTAGTGTGTGTGGGGATGAAATAGTCTTTTAGCTGGTTGGGAAGATCTAACTCTACGTGCCCTATACTGTGACAAGATTTTAAACAAAGTAAAACATCTTACAACTCTGGTGCTACTGGGATTAACGGATTTAGCAAGTGCTAAAGTAAAGGTCATAAGCACTGGATCGCCCATGTAGCTGAACAAATGCACCACTGTTCCAACACAACCCCCCAACACAAAACCATATCAAAACAGAGCACTCCACTGCATGCACAGCTCTTCCCCTGGGGAAAGGATGAGAGCGAGAACCAACGACATGTGACAGATGTTAGCCATGTTGCTTAATGCACAACAGGAAGATGTTCAGGTTCGACACCACCCTTATCACCATAATGTCTATCTAGAACAGACCCTTCAGATCCTCTGCTCTGGCAGGCCATAGACTGCCAGCTGTGTGGTAGTTCTGAGGGGCACAAATGGGAATCGGAGTGAGACAGCCACATATGTTTGAAGCAATTCAACTGGATCTAGGTTTCCAGAGGTGCAAAGCTAGGGGAACTGATCCCCTCTTCTACCTAGCCTCCCATCCCTCATTATGTAATAATTATTTTTATATGGTACTTTACACATTAGAAGCACATTGCAAATATTATCTAGCTCATCTTCAACCTACCATGCACATTTGGGAGGTTAGGTATTTACCCTTATTTTACAGATGGAGAAACTGAGGCAGGGAGGCGCGGTGACTTGCCCAAAGCCAGACTGAGTTTGTGGCAATGCTGGGATTATCATTTAGGACCTCCTGATTCCCAACCCCATACTCTGTCCTCCAACCATGCTGCCTCTAATATACATTGTCTAGATATTAATCATGGGTCAACCTACACTTGATGCTCTTATTTTTTTAGTCTATCATTGGTGTATCTAGCTACCTAAACATGCTTGCTGCAAGTCGCCTCTCCAGGTTGGGTGTTGCTCTTCACAGTTGTAGACCAGATTTTAAAAGCTTTTGGGTGTAGAGAAAATCTTGCCCCATTTGGGAAGTGATGCCGACATTACAGTTCTGCAAAGCCTCTCAAACCTAACTGCGTTATGATGCTTTTGGAGCCTTTAAGAGCGGCCACACTGGGTCAGACCAAAGGTCCTTCTAGCCCAGTATCCTGTCTTCCGACGGTGGCCAATGCCAGGTGCCCCAGAGGGACTGAACAGAACAGGTAATCATCAAGTGATCCATCCCCTGTCGCCCATTCCCAGCTTCTGGCAAACAATTGTTCATAGCTAAAAGAGATTTTTGTGGGAAAAGGGGAAGAAGGGATTGGAAGAAAAACTCACAAGGTAATTTTATTTTTCCAGACTTCAATCCTGGCATTATTCTTACCATGGTAGTTACATAAACAATTAAGCTTGTTCCAATGGCAGCTGCTTATGAAGTGAAAAGCTAAACATTAAAACAGGTAACTCCGTAGTCTGAGCTGTTTAAATTGATATCAGGCCTATTAAGAACCTAAAGATGGTGATAGGTCATGGAAAGACCTAGTAGGTAAGTATTCCCCTTTAAAAAGAGCTTCATGCCCACGTCCTTACAAACTTGAATGATGGTACTGTACATCTGAGCTTCTCTCTGTGGAAATACTAACACTGAACTGCGTAGAGAGCGGACAAGGTTATTAACTTTGGCAGGAAATGGAAATTTGCCCTTAATATACATGTGAAATTGAATTGTCTGTAGCACGAAGCTTTGGAGATTACCCATGCAAAATGAGAAAATGATCTAAATTTAAAATTGTTCCCAGTACAGTGGAAAGTAATTTTTCAGGCTGCCTTTTTTTTTTTTAACTGGATCGAAATCTGCAGACATTGGCTCTATTAATTTAGGCTTAAACACAGGACCTGTGTCGTCTTAGAAACGGTTAATGAGATGGAAAGCATACCGTAAGGGGCGAAATGAGATTTTTCTGGAAGCGATGTAGGCCGCTAGCTTCTCTGATACATATTCTTTGAGGATACCCCGAGCCCACATATCCTTTTGAGGGTGCCTTCTGACTAGTGGGTGTTTAGAAGGGAGGTTCTATCTACTGTGACAGACCTTTTGAATAATGACACGCTGATGACTCTTCAGTTATGTATAACAGGCTTCAAGAGCGGGATGAGAGAGGGACAGAGTAAGACTCCAGGCAAAACCAGTGTCCTAGCCTTTTAACAGCAGCATTGTTTATGTAGCTGGATGCCTGGTATGGAAGAGTCAGGGGCAGAAGAATGCATTTTCCTGACTCTTGAATAGCTTTTTATGTTTCAGACAAGGGCTGCACTCAGAATTAGTGTGTGGTGTGTGTATGCAGGAATTATCTTTGTTTACAATACTTTTCTTGAAAACAGCTGATTCTCTGTGCAGAGAGAAATAAAGGCCATTCTCAGTCTCTCTCCTTTTCTATGAACGTCCAGTTTAGTCTACGGCTTCTCTAACTTAGGGGTCACCAACAGGTGTCAGGGGACCCTGCCATTCCCATATTGCTCGATGGGAGGGAGGTCCCAGACAGATGGTAGAGGTATATAAAATCATGAGTGATGTGGAGAAAGTGGATAAGGAAAAGTTATTTACTTATTCCCATAATACAAGAACTAGGGGTTACGAAATGAAATTAATAGGCAGCAGGTTTAAAACAAATACAAGGAAGTTGTTCTTCACGCAGCGCACAGTCAACTTGTGGAACTCCTTACCTGAGGAGGTTGTGAAGGCTAGGACTATAACAGCGTTTAAAAGAGCACTGGATAAATTCATGGTGGTTAAGTCCATTAATGGCTGTTAGCCAGGATGGGTAAGGAATGGTGTCCCTAGCCTCTGTCTGTCAGAGGATGGAGATGGATGGCAGGAGAGAGATCACTTGATCATTGCCTGTTAGGTCCACTCCCTCTGGGGCACCTGGCATTGGCCACTGTCGGTAGACAGGATACTGGGCTAGGTGGACCTTTGGTCTGACCTGGTACGGCCGTTCTTATGTTCTTATGAGAGGCTGGTAGAGGGTGTCCTGCAATGGAAAAGGGGGTTCCAGGATGGTTGAGGTTGAGAACAGCTGCTGTATTGCAAATATTTTCTTGTCTATCACTAATGCTTATGTATTTGTCATTGCTATTTGGCAAGTGGCCAAAAGAATAAATAACTAAATAAATATAAATATAAATAATACCACCTTGTATGATGCTTTTCAGCAGTAGATCTAAAAGAACTTTACAAAGTTACACTTTGTACACTTCACAATTATTGCCATTTTACAGATGGGGAGACTGAGGCAGAGAGGTGCAGTGACATGTCCAAAGTCACCCAGTGGCCAAGCAGGTAGATATTAATGTCCCAGTACAGATAAGCTGATCAAGAAATCTGTTTCATATTTTTTGGCTCCACCATAAGCAGCTGGGATTTTGTTTTAAAGTTAGAGCAACAAAAGTATATAGTGCCAGGGGAGAGCAATAAAACAACCTGGGCTTAACACATGTATTTCTTCGCAGGCATTGCTGTGCTTTACTTGCACCTGTATGATGTGTATGGAGACCCTTCCTACCTCCAGGTAGCAGAGGCATACGCGAAGAAGAGCTTGAATTGTCTGACAAAGCGCTCCATCACCTTCTTGTGCGGGGATGCTGGACCTTTGGCAGTGGCTGCCGTTGTGTACCATAAATTACAGGATGAGACGCAGTCGGAAGCCTGCATCACTCGGTAACGTTTCGGGGTTTGGTTTTGCCCGCCTGTTCCTCAAGTTGTTGCTTTTGGATGCATGAGCTGGTGTCCAAAGCTGGCACGTAGCTTTCCCCATGCGGAACATCCCTCTCAACCTTGTTAGGTTCTGCTGTAGGGCTCTGTTTGAAGGAGAGCATTCACTAACTGGACAAGAAGCATGCAACAGAATCTTCACATCCTAGAGAAATGGTTGTCATTAAGGACGTAAACCAAGCCCGGTTGACTAGCTGGCCCTTGTTACAGCCTGCTTTTCTGGATGGGGGATAGAATGGCTGTACTGTCACTGAGCAGGGATTGCCACAGCACTAGAGCTGGCCAGACAGGCTGGGGGAGCTGCACGTGGTTGGTTGGTTTTGTTATTCATGTTTCCATTTTTCAGAGTCTTAAACAAAATAGGATTTTTTGAAAACTTTACACCAGTTCTATAGTTGGTTGAAAATGGGGGAAAACTTGGAAATATTTAGTCCGGACTTCTCCCCATTATCTTTTTCTTTGGAGGGGGGTGGAGAGAAGGGGGAGATTTGGAATTTTTTTTACCAGCTCCACCCTTACAGTTAAAGGGACATTTTGTCAAGGTGAGACTTATCTTTTTCATTTTATCTTATGTCTGGTTTTTAAATTGTGTTTTCATCTGTATTTTTGTTGTTCTTTTTTAAACACAAGCCGCTGTACACTACCTGAATAGGGCTAGCATGTGACAGAGAAAAAACACTTAGCAGAGGAGCAGATTTCAATTGTAAGCTTTCAAGAGTATATGAGAGAAGGAGTCTTAAAATGATGAGAAATACCTTGGGGCAAACTTTCCATTTAAAGTTGACCAGTAAACAAATCTACCAAATCCTAACAACTGCAGAAACATATGCTGAATAGCCTCCGTTATCTGGCTATGAGGGTCATACAGCACAATTGTTTTAAAATGAAGCGGGGGAGGAAGGTTCAGAATTGCCTAAAGGATTTGGAAACCCAGCTCCCATTATTTTTAATTGAGATTGAGATGTTCTTCTTTTTGGTGTGAATTTAGTGCTCATGAAATATGCAGCTTGAACTAGTCTAGAGACAAAAGTCCCTTTTTTTTATTCTGGAAATATAGACATGTGATCTTAACAATATTGCATTGGTCAACATTGCATCATATTGGTGAAGCTTGCTAATGTGATGTAGATATATTTGCCTACAAAAGGGACATCTGGACACCATTATTTCAAACTGTGATGTACAATCGTAGGGGGAATTAAACCCCAAATTATAACAGATCAAAACCCATGTTTCTTTATTGTAATTGTCCCTTGCTGCGGCAGTTTTGTGGCAGAGCAGAAATTCAGATTAATTCTGCACTGCCATCTAATGGCATCTGGAGGACAAAGCACTGGAAATGGGTTACTTCTGAAAGGCAAGCAGAGAAAAGAAAATGGGGTATTCAAGAAGCAATGGTTAGGGCAAACTTTCCTATTGCCTGCCCCTGGATTGTTCAGAGCAGGCCAGAGTACCCTTAAAACAGGAAAAGCTGCCTTCTACAAGAAATATTTCCATTAATCAAAAGGCGGAATGGGTTTTCAGTTTATTACTGAGCTCGCAAAGAGTTTGCTGGGTTCTGGAGTGGAAAGCTCTTAGTTTCTCCTGCGGAGAAAGGATAGCAATCACTGTGCCTGTTTCTCTTTGGGTCCAGCTGGGATGCACTCTTTAGAGGACATTCCAGCTGTACAAAGGCTGAAGTGAGCCTCTTAGCAGAGCTTTCTCTGCAGTGGGAGACACACAAGCTTCTTTTTTTCTGGGCTGCTTGCACTTGCCCAAATGAGTTCCTGACCCCAAAATGTGCTTTATCCCCCTGAGAGGCTCTAACACTTCACGGTGGCCAGTTTTCCAACAGCCAATGAAAACCTGGACTGTATTCTTACAGACTGTGTTCCATGGTTTTCCTGCCATCGGGAGATCAGGTGTTTGCTTCTAGAGTAATTGGTGCACAGAATCCTGTCCCGCTGCCGCATTTTCCCTTCTTCCTGAAACTGTTAGTTTTCAGCAGTTAATAGATTGGTTTAGTATCCGTGGTGTCTAACTGTCAGGTACCTTTACTAACGTCCCTTGCTGGAAAATGGCATTCTGGGTAATGTCAGGGCTGCCAGGCGTCTGGCACCTTGTGTGACACACCCACGATTAGCAGCCCCGCCCCTCTTGACCATATTACCTTTGATTCCCCTGTTTACTCTGCGGTTTGGTCCCACAGATGCTGACAGGAACTGCTCTGCAGGCTTCCTCTCCTCCTCCCCTCACTACTCCAGCTAGGGGGAGCAGCTTGCAGCAGCAGTACAAACACTGGCCTAGGTGCTCCAGACCATCCCTCACCCCACAAACTGCCCCAGGGAGCTCTTCACATGCTCCCCCAAGACCCCTGCTCATGACATACCATCTACCCACCCCCTCGCCCAGTTTCCCCAAGCACCTCCATCCAGTTACAGTCCCACAGGCTCTGACATCTCCCTAGGCACTGCATCAAATCCCAGGCACTCCCTCTCCACCTGCTATAGGTATCCCACCCCCTACTACAGCCTCCCAGCCCAGCCCCGCCCTTCCTGGCACTCCTTTCCTCCCACACAGCAACCAGGAGACCACACTCTAGCTGCTTCTCCCCCATCCTCCCTGGAAATAGGGTCACCAGGGGATTACGGGCAGCAGCATGAGGCAGGGAGATCTCCTGTTGCTGCCTGATTTGGGGGAGTGTGTATGGGAGACATGCTCCTGCCTCCCACTCCCACCCACATTTGCCTGCACATGCTTAGGAGGCAGGGTGAGAAGTCAGTGACTTGCTCTCACGTCTGGGAAACATCCAGGGGGGAGCAGCGCAACACTCGGTAGCCGCCTGTTGTGAGGACCTGGACCAAATCTGCCTCGAGACCCTCGCTCTCTAAATATCTCTAGTCACATTGAATCCAACACCAAGCAAAGATTTGTTGCTGCCGGGAGCCGGAACACAGCGCCCTCCATCTGATCCCAGGGGATTCTGGACAATTGGCTGTTGTGTCCTTTTAAAAAAAGAATGTGCTGCCCAAGAGCAAGCGCTGACACTGTACCTTTGCTGTTCCCTCACGCGGCTGTGATGGGGAGCCCTGCACCAGTGGTTCCTCGGGGGTGCAGTTCCTGTGTCTTGTGCCTGTCAGAGTGGCAGCAAGAGGCACTGAAAGGAGCAGCCTTGAGGAAATGCAGCACCCATGCTGTCATTTTGAAAGTGACAGTGTTTTCCAGGCCGCTGACCCCGGGGATGGAAAAAAATACTACTTTCCTCTTTGCCGCCGACTTAATGCTCTGATAGGGAGGAACTTCTGACCTTGTTGGAAGAGTGGTGAGGCGCCAAAATGGAGGGTAATTTGCATCTTGTGCGATTGGGTCACAAAGCACCCAAGTGAAGAGTTGTCAATCGTTGCTAACGCTTGCAGGAGCGTCACCAACTTCAGCGTGCTAATCATCTGAAGAATGACGCGAGGACTTTTCAAACGATGTTGGGCTCCTTGCTCTGTGTTGCCGGTGTGTTTAAAGTCTGGTGCCAGTAGGCAATCCATACTCTCACTTCTGCGGTAGGTGAGTGCACTGAAAGAAGCCTGTGGTGCTTGCACTTGGACTGACCCTGCGATTATAATTAGTTAACCCAGCCTAGATGGATGAAGAGCGACTGGCTGTTTCTTCTGCACCCCACAGAGGCTCGGTATTTCATAACCACCCCTTTCCCACTCCACTGTGCACTGTTGCCTAAGTGATTCACATTCCTTCCCCCAGTCCCCTCTCCTTCACTCCTCATTCGGGAGATGACCCCAGCTGTTTTGGAACAGCGCGAGAGCTGTTGGGTTTTCACAGTCAAGACTTTTAAACATAAGGGGTGGCATCTTCAAAAATGGTCAGCCGGGGCTCAGCTCTGCTCCCATTTTGGTAACATCCCCTTTGACGTCTACAGAAGCAGAGTGAAACTGATGCCGATCACTTCTGGAAGTGCCTCGTGGCACAGAAGCTGAATTTCTGAAAGCACTGCTATGGCATGTGATGGGGGAGCTGGGAATGGAGAAGACGTTTTCCTTGCTTTAAAGGGTCATCCTGCCTTACCCACGCAGTTATCAACTTGGGTTTGACTATCAACGTTATTATCTGGATTCCAGTAACGCCTAGAGTCCCAAATTGATCCCGTGCACTAGGCGCTGTACAAATACATAATAACTGACGGCCCCTGCCCTGAAGAGCTGACTGTCTAAATAGACAAGACAAAGGCAGGATTATGTCCATTTTACAGATGAGAACTGAGGCACTGAGATTGCCCAAGGTCACATAGAGTGAGCCTGTGGTGGAACTAGGATCTGCACTCAGATCTCCTGAGTTCCAGTCTAGTAGCCTTCAACTGGAGTTAAAGTTTGGTGGTGTTTTTGTATAGCTCATCCCTGCCAGTCTACTTCCTCACCTGAATCTTTCTTTCCAGCTTGCTTCAGCTGCACAAACTTGACCCGCGAGCACCTGATGAAATGCTCTATGGGCGCATGGGATACCTGTACGCACTGCTGTTCGTGAACAAGCATTTCGGAGCGGAAAAAATCCCTCAAAACTATATTCAGCAGGTACCCTGTCATTTCTCCAGTTGCTCTCCAGTGTAGGCTGAATTAGCCTCCCGCATCCTACTCGTTTGTCCTCTGTATTTTGTCGCTTCCCACCCAGCACATCCTTGGAAGGGTGAAAATAGATGCTGGTCTAGTTAACTCTGGCATGTGTGAAAACATGACATGACACGTGTGAAGGCCACAGCATGGAACCTCCAGCTGCAGGCCCCATTCTTCCTAAGGGATATTGTGCCAAACGCCCTTCCTAATCCATTAGGATTCTGTGCCTAGAGTCGAAGAAGCCCCTATTCCTCTCCCCCATTCACAAGCTAGGATTTCCATGTGCAGAATAACAAAGGTGCATGACTGTATTTTTCACTGTGATACCTGCTGTGCTGGCTACTGTCTGCCAGGCTGGAGGGAAGAGATTATATACCTCAAAGCTGTTGTCGCTCACCTCTGGTTTCCACCTGCAGGTCTGCGATGCAGTTGTGGCATCCGGGGAGAGCCTGGCGAAAAGGAGGAACTTCACAGCCAAGAGCCCGTTGATGTATGAGTGGTACCAGGAGTATTACATAGGGGCTGCCCATGGCCTGGCAGGAATTTATTACTACCTTATGCAGGTGAGAGACACCTGGAGAGAAAAGGCCTTCCCAGCAGTTTCACTTCTAATGCCCTCCAATTAGAACTTGGGACACCTGGGGAGCTTTCTGATTGGCTATTAGTGATGTCACACTTGTGTCAATCATGGTCAGCTGTCCATCAGATGCTCTCTTTTGTTGGGTTTAAATCCTATTTCAAAACAGCTCTAAAATGCTCTAGACTCTGTTTCTCTAGGGGCTACTACACTTCTGAGGTGGCTAGTCACTTAGAGCTAGATTCATAAAGAAACTTAAGTGTCATCATGCCTAACTTTTCGGTACCTAGAAAATCATGGGGATTCAGAGAGCCTGATTTTGGCATCTTGGCTCCCTATACAATGAAGTTACAAGCTGAATCTGGAATACATGGGATATAGAAAAGAGCAGCCAAACACCATATGCTTACAGGGAAAGTGTACCAGGGAAGGTACAGAGGAGGACATCAGATTCTGTGCAATTCTTTATCACTGGTGGCTGTACAGCACAGGTATTGATTTTCAATTTGCACGTTAGCAATTTGGGTATGATATGATTCTTAGCTTAAAATGCTGATTCCAAGGGGCTCAGAGCTGCCAACTTAAAAGAGAACTCTGTCTATATAGTTTTTGGCCAATGCGGTGCAATTAGAGGAGGACACAGAGGATCCACTCCTGCTTTCAATGAGGTCAATGGTGAAGTTGCTCCCTTAGTTTTAAACTCATTGTTACCCTTGAACCTGTTTACATGGTCTGTGTACAAATAAGAATTGAGATCTTCAAGTTGGGCTGGCCTTGCAGCTCACTATGGGGTGGTGGTGCTCTGCGTGGGTGACGTGATCTGCTAGGTCTTGGTGTCTGGGAATCATTCCTGATAGTTATCCTGAGTTTTTCTCTTTGCTTCATTTCATTTCATTAATCCTGATCATATCTTCTAAGCAATTCCTAACCACTTCAGATTTGTAGGATAGACTTTTCCTTGCCTCTTAAAATCCAAAGGGATCCCCTTATCTTTCTCCCTGTAACAGTGTTCACTCACCAGTGGGGGCACCCCCTTGTGACTGGATCTGGGGATCAGCCCTTGTCGAGTCGAGCACCCCCTTCTGTTGCTCGCCTGCCCCGCAGTCCCTCTCACTCTCCGGGACTGGGAAGTGCTCTCTCTTTGTGACCCAGCCCTTCATCCAGGTGACGATATAGTTTTCCCCTTTTGGTGTATCAAAGTCTCGCCAGACCAACTGTCCAGATGCCACTTCACCAATCCTGCACCATTTCCCATTGGCTGGTGGGAAACCTGGGCCCACCCAGCAGACAAGGTCTACACAGTCTCAACCCTCACTGCTCCATCCTTGGGCTTCTTCCTACTCTACCTTCTACAGGCTTTCTTCTCCACACCCCCTCTGGGTGAACCTTTCTGTCAGGGACAGGAGCCCAGGTCTTTTGCTCTCCCCAACCCCGGAGCCCCCGGGTTTCCCCCTACCCACCTTTCTGTGCCCAGAGAGCAACTGCAGACTCCCTCCCTGCAGCCCCTTTCTGCTGCAAACTTCCTGGCTTTATACCTTACCCAGCTTCTCCCCAAGCTGGGCTTCAGCAATTAGTAATTTATCAGTCAAATCTGACCCTCCCTGAGGTGCAGCCTAAAGGTTCATTTGTCCCTTCTGAGCTACTCTAACCCCTTCAGGGCTAGTATAGGGTGAACACCCCCTCACACGCCCCTTGCTGGGGACTGGCTGGGGAACCCTCTGGAGCCAGTCACTGTTGCTGCAGAGGAAGAGGCACTAAAGGATGCCCAGGTGCACGCCCGCACCCGAGGCATTGAGCAGCCTGCCCCCACCGTTCTCCTAGCCTGTCTGTATAGGAGGAAAGATATGAGCCGACGTAGCACAGCTGAAGAAGCTGGAAGGAATCAGTAACGCCAAACTCTCTTGTCATCTTTGAAGCATAAATTGCTTATGCCTCTAAAACTATCATTGCCAGCTGGGGGAGGGAATTGTACAGTACTTCTTTCACGTTTTAACAGCCTATCTTGTCTGTCTGTTTCAGCCCGGCCTTGGCGTGAGCCAAGTGAAGTTACATAACACAGTCAAACCCAGTGTGGATTATGTCTGCCAACTGAAGTTCCCATCAGGCAACTACCCCCCTTGTATTGATGATGCCAGAGACCTGCTTGTCCATTGGTGTCACGGGGCACCTGGCGTGATCTACATGCTCACACAGGCCTATAAGGTACAGGAGGTCCTGGGAAACGGTGACAGGAGAGCTTTACACATGGAACTTGATCTCAGAGAATCCTCTAGCCAGGAGTCTCTGTCAGGGCATGTAATATTCTAATGAAATAACCCACCAGCGCCACCATGCATGCCCACACTTACACACCAATCAAAATGCAAATTAGACTTTTAATGAATGATTTCTGAACATGTCCCAAGTGTCTTGTCCCAAGTGCAGGATGCTTTCATTGCTTGTGGAGTCAGCCATGTGTTGTATTCATTCTGTGGCAGGTGACTAATGGTGACAGCTCATTGTGAGTTAAATAACGGTGACGCTGCTTCATTTATCACTTTAAAAATCTTTGACAGTAGAAGGCAAAGTCACGGTGCCATTGCTTAAGTAGGAGAGGTCACTCTCAATAGGAGCCAATTAACCAAGAAGGTGGGGGCCTGCTCCACCCTAGCGTGGATGCTGAGAGGATAATTGCACTGAGTGGAATCTCTCTCTCGTCTCCACAGGTGTTTGCTGACCAGCAGTATCTGAGTGATGCGCTGCAGTGTGCGGAAGTGATCTGGCAGTGGGGATTGCTGAAGAAAGGTTATGGGCTGTGCCATGGGACAGCTGGCAACGCTTATGCCTTCCTAACGCTGTACAACCTCACTCAAAACATGAAATACTTGTACAGGGCCTGCAAGGTGAGCGTCCATATGAGCAACAGACACAGAGGAAAGACTCCTGCCACCGGGTCATGGAAAGATTGGATGCTGACTGGGATAGCTCACCTTTTAAAAAAGTTATCCGATAGAAAATCATGGGACCATCTTTTGTTAAGGAGAGGAACTGGTCAGGCTAGTGTGGAATGTAACTAACATTCTAGAGCCAGTTACCTTGAAGGATGGTTTGATTCTACACTCTACGTGATGGTTCTTTCCTTTGTAATCTAACTTCTAGCCTGGCAGAGATGCAGCTAGCACTAACCAGTTCATTTCACATAGACTAGTATGGTCCTTAAACAGTCACTCTCATCACTGTCCCTCAGACCAACAGCCTGCTGGGCTCTAGTCAACAGCAGTGCCTGGCAACAGCCTGTTTTCTGTTCAATTGTCATGACAAGATGGAGATCTGGAGGACGCTGGGTGGAGTGTCTGTATTTTTAACGTCCATGTCAGGTCTCTTACAAAGTTTGGACGCTTTGTTCTTCCTTCCTCAGTTTGCAGAGTGGTGTTTGAGTTATGGGGAGCATGGGTGCCGGACTCCAGACACGCCCTTCTCTTTCTTTGAAGGTAATCTCTGTCCAGCCTTTTCTACATAATATGTTCTGAATCCTGAGTCTGATCTCACACCGGTGTAAATTGAGAGTAACTGCATTAAGACCCCCTAAAATCAGCGTCAGGAGAATCACACCCACTGTTTTGACCCTCTCTGAATGAGATTTTAACAGCAGTGGATAATGGCTACAACTGGAATTCCTTGTTCTGTTGCAACCCCAGCTGGGAGGGCTGGAGGCTGGCATAGCTCCGAGTCCTCCTGCGCTCAGCTCTGGTACGGTTCATAACTCTCACTGGAGTAAGTCTTTATTAGGGACAGTTTAAACCTACAGTAATTGCAGGCTGCCTGCCCAGCCAACCTCTGCACTCTGTGTACTTACTATTTTGTGCAGGCCCTTTTCAGTTTGCCTCCAAAGAACAATGAAGAAATGGACAAAAAGAAGCCATAGATCTAGCCCATGATTGGGCAACAGATAGCTTTCTCAAATGCTGATACCTATGCTGCTCCATAAATCTGCCAGCAGGGGGAACCCTGGGCCAGTTCCACCGCCACCATAAATCACAGAGCCACTCACGTCCATGGAACTAGGACATAAGGTTGCCAACTTTCTAATCGTGCAAAACCAAACACCCTTGCCCTGAGGCCCCACCCCCACTCACTCCATTCCGCCCTACAGCTGTTGCTTGCTCTCCCCCACCTTTGCTCACTCACTCACTCATTTTCACTGGACTGGGGCAGGGGGTTGAGGAAGCTCTGGCTGGGGGTGCGGGCTCTGGGGTGGAGCCAGGGATGAGGGGTTTAGGGTGCAGGAGGGGGCTCCGGGCTGGGACTGAGGGGTTCGGCGTGCGAGAGGGGGTTCCGACTGGGGCAGAGGGTTGGGGTGTGGGAGGAGGGTTGGGGTGCGGGCTGCAGGAGGGAGTTTGGGTGCAGGAGGGGGATCAGGGCTGGGGATTGGGGCACAGGAGGGAGTTCGGGGTGCCTCAGGCAGCTCCCTGGAAGCAGTGGCTCCTAGGTGTAGGGGCAGCCAGGCGGCTCTTCGCACTGCCTGTGTCCACAGATGCCGCCCCCACAGCACCCATTGGTCACGGTTCCCAGCCAATGGGAGCTGTGGAGCTGGTGCTCGGGGCGGGGGCAGCGCGCAGAGCCCCCCGGCCGTCCCTCTGCCTAGGAGCCGAGGGACATATTGCCACTTCCACGGAGCTGGGTAGGGAGCCTGTCAGCCCCGCACCAAACGGACTTTTAATGGCCAGGTCAGCAGCCCTGACCGGAGCTGCCAGAGTCCCTTTTTGACCAGGTGTTCCAATCGAAAACCAGATGTATTGAAAGGCCAGATGTTTAAAGGTATTTCAATGCTTACAACTGCAAATGGGCGCCTAAGGAGATTTACTTGCATCTTATTTGCATCTTAAGCACGTGTATACCTTTAAAAATCTGGCTCTAAGTGCCTACATTACTTTGGAAAAATGGGCTTAGATTCCCGAGTCAAGTAGGTGCTTTTGAAAATGACCCCTGGTTCCCTGTCTTCCATGATGCACACTCACAGTCATTATGATTTACTCTAGAATAATACTGACGTGCAATGAGAATCTCCCTGTTATATGCTTTGAGAAATAACAATTTTCTTTTTTTCCTTCAGGAATGGCTGGGACAATATATTTTCTTGCTGATCTCCTGGTACCAACAAAGGCCAAGTTCCCAGCATTTGAGCTATAAAGCCCTTCCCAGCAGTTCCCTGCACGAATCCCACTGCACTCCACATCCGTTGGACAAGGAGATGGAGCTTGCTCGAGTCTCTTTTCAAACTCATCTCTTGTAAAGTAAAGGCGTTCTGTTGATGGTTTCAGTTCTTTTCCATATTTAAAATTTTTCTAGTGCTCTTTTTGCTTTGTTTAGATTTTTAAAAAAAATGTGGTTTTTGTTATTGGTTCCTAAAGATGGGAAATGTACAGTATTTTGTTGGATATGCAAACTCAGAGCTTTGCTATTTTATGTATCTGAATTCCAGGGAGAAAGTTTTTTCTATTGAATGTAACTTTGTCCATTTAACTTTGTCATGAGTAACAGTGATAGAAGCTTAGAGTATTGTCTTTGGAAAACAAAAGATGAAGTCTTATGACTATTACCTCCTGTTGGCACCTAAGTATTCTCTCTCCTAATCATGGAGTTCTAACTGAACTGCTGCTTGGGCAGTTGACTGTGATGGACTGTGGAGACGGAAGTTATTTCTTATGCCATCCTCTTGGCAGACTGCAACTGTCACAGCTATCACTGACATGCCAACGTCCTCTCTTAATCCTCACACCTTTCTGCTTTGTAAGCAGACTGTGTTTCACTCTTTGTGCATTTTGTCAGCGATGAGAATACATAATCCATAACCTATTGTGCAGATTTCACCATATTCTGCTAAACGCTGCAGGAGAAAGCCTTCAGTCACTGAAAGTGTCAGTTCAAAAGAGTTAAGTTACTGCCAAGTGTGATCTTTCATGTTCAGTTTTGAAAAACTTTCTGCGGTCTTCACTTAAAATTATATGTAACATTGCAGCTGTTAGCCTGGTGAACCAGGCCTGGAAACAGAAGTTGTGGGAAAAGAAAACTATTTCGTTAAGTTTTGTCAGTTTTTAATCTGTTATATTTGTAGCTCTACCAGCTTCTTAATCCCTCCTACTTCTTTAATCAGCTTCCATGAACCTTAGTAACTCGGTTCGCTTGTTACTACTCATTGTAGCCTGATACGTGAACAATAATCCATCTGAAAAGTAGCTGGAAAATCTGCCCCAAATTGGTACTGATCGAATACCTTGTCCAGTCAATGGGCTAGATCCTTGTTGGCTGTAAATCGGAATTAATCCATTGATGGAGTTTCACTCACTTACACCCGCTGAGGGTCTGTCCTAGTAAACTCTTGTCCTGCTAACGAATGTGCTCTGGTAAAGGAGCACGCTCCATCGGCTGCTGGAGTTCCTGAACCTGCTTCTTGGCTCTTCCATTGGCTGCTGGAGGCGACCTCTTATTCCTCAACTTGCCCCAGGCCTGAAGAAGGGTGGAAATGGTTTTGATATTTCAAGGCTGCGGACAGTGAGTAGCTAGAAACACTAATAGAGCCTAAAGACTGCATCTCGCTTAGAAAATCATCTCCAACTCACTTACGTGAACTGCCTGAGCAAGCAGCGTAAACTGTATTCTGCACAGACCCCTTTGCCACTGCAAGCAGTGCTTTCATTGACTTTCTCACTACAGGTTTCAGCATTGATTGTGTGGACAGCTAATTAGAAAAATTGGAAACACAGTGCAGCTAATTTGCTGTTCGCTGGGTGTCCCAGTTGAAAGCATCAAGCTCATTTGGACTAGCTAAGCCTCTCACTGCCGTGTTTCTGAGCTTTTAAGACTGCGGTGAATAACCCAGAGGAAAAAAAAAAAGTGATCTCCAGGATTTGAGTAATTGAATAGTTCTGGGGAAGTCCTATAGATGAAGCCTACTGTAAGTTAACTTGAATCTTGCCTGTAGTGACAACTGATTTGAGACCCCTGTCTTGGTTTTTTGGATTTCTGTTAAACATAATTCCTATTAAAGAAAAAGTTCATGCAGCCTGTTGCACAGAATATTCCAGCAGCATGTATGCTACTGTACTTGTACATGTACTACTTGAAAAGCGCAGGGGACATGATGTACAAGTCTTAGGTTGAAAGCTGTTTAATAAAATGCTGAAACAAACAAGGTGTAGGTCCTTTTTTCTTAATCCTGTTCACTGATAATGCCCCATAATTGTATCTTGAGAGGGCAGCGTATGCCAGCAGCTGCTGGGACTCTTACTTGGGTGGGCGCAGTCAGAAAGACCCAAATGGAACCTGTTTGTAGCATGCTGCAGACATGGTATGAATGCCTGCAAAGAGAAGTCCACCTGTGGCTTCACAGAAGTGTGTGAATTTGTCAGTTTTGCCGGCTAAATCCCATCGCCGTGGCGCTCTGGTCACAGCCATCAAACGTTGTCTTTATTGCGAGCCTCTGAATACAGCATTTCCAGCACTCACAATTATCTCGCGTCTCGCTTTCCTTAAAGCCCCAGCTCCCGTAGCTGAGAGATCTCAGGTTTCATTTTGAAAAGTTTCTAGCCCTTGTGGTTTGTCAAAAAGCCTGAAAACATGACTTGAGTTTGACCTAAGGGCTCAGAAAGCAAATAAAAAAGGAACCTAAAACTTATGTTGTGAATCTCACGGTTTCAGCGCTACTGTCCTGATTTGCTAGGGGGAGGAGAAGGTGTCTGACTCATTTTTGAACGTTTGGGGTTGTCAACACTGTGACCATAACAGCGCTGGTTTGTAGATACAGCACCCACATGGACCTGCGTACCGGTCCCTATCACTGCCACTGGGGGCCCAACTACAGCTGACAAGAGATTAGCATGGCTGAGCTACAACTTCTCTTTCCCCAGTTTAGTTTGGCTTGCTCCGGTAACCATAAGGCCCATTGCTGGTTGTTGCTTTTTGCAATCTAATCTGGAGAAAACAAAAGCCGAGTAGTTCGTCCTTTTTCCTTGGTGATAAATAATGTTCTGGGGCTTTGTTTTGCTTACCTCTTATCCAGCCTGGCCTTTTCTGTCCTGTTTGTGAAGGGGGAATGGAACTGCTCTCACTCTGTCTCTTGAGCATCTCTCACCCCACCCCTGCCAAATAAAACATGGGTTTTATTTTATCCTTAAGACAAGGCTCTCATTTCAGCTCTGTGTATTCTGTACCCCCTATGGCTTTCACATAAAATCCAGGCCTGAACTAGTCTTTATTCTGGCAAAACTCACTTGTAAGCAGCATTGGTTTTTACAGACTGGGTGTGCTCTATTAAAGGGACTCCATCCATTTGAATAGCCTGTTCCCATTCTAGTTTAAAGTAGTGCTGTTGCTGTCAAGTGATTAAAAAAATTAACTGCAATTAATCGCACAGTTAATAATAGAATACCATTTATTTAAATAGTTTTGGATGTTTTCTACATTTTCAAATATACTGATTTCAATTACAACACCGAATACAAAGCGTACAGTGCTCACTTTATATTTATTTTTGATTACAAATATTTGCACTGTAAAAAAAAAACAGAAATAGTATTTTTCAATTCACCTAATACAAGTACTGTAGTGCAATCTCTTTATCATGAAAGTTGAACTTACAAATGTAGAATTATGTACAAAAAAACTGCATTTGATATAAAATTTTAGAGCCTGCAAGTCCACTCAGTCCTACTTCTTGTTAAGCCACTTGCTGAGATAAACAAGTTTGTTTACATTTGCAGGAGATAATTCTGCCCGTTTCTTGTTTACAATGTCATCTGACAATGAGAACAGGTGTTCCCATGGCACTGTTGTAGCCGGCATCGCAAGATATTTACCTGCCAGATGCATTAAAGATTCATATGTCCCTTCATGCTTCAACCACCATTCCAGGGGACGTGCGTCCATGCTAATGATGGGTTCTGCGCAATAAGAATCCAAAACGGTACGGACCAACACATGTTCATTTTTATTATCTGAGTCAGAGGCCACCAGCACAAGGTTGATTTTCTTTTATGGTGGTTCGGGTTCTGTACTTTCCGCATTGGAGTGTTGCTCTTTTAAGACTTCTGAAAGCACGCTCCACACCTCGTCCCTCTCAGATTTTGGAAGGCACTTCAGATTCTTAAACTTTGGATTGAGTGCTGTAGCTATCTTTAGAAATCTCATATTGGTACCTTCTTTGCATTTTGTGAAATCTGCAGTGAAAGTGTTCTTAAAATGAACATGTGCTGGGTCATCATCCGAGACTGCTATAATATGAAATATATGGCAGAATGCGGGTAAAACAGAGCAGGAGATATACAACTTCCCCCCCCCCCCCCCCAAGGAGTTCAGTCAAATTTTTAATTAACACATTATTTTTTTTAAACGAGCGTCATCAGCATGGAAGAATGTCCCCTGGAATGCTGGCCAAAGCATGAAGGGGCATACGAATGATTAGCATATCTGGCACGTAAGTACCTTGCAATGCCGGCTACAGAAGTGCCATCCACATGCCTGTTCTCATTTTCTGGTAACATTGTAAATAAGAAGAGGGCAGCATTATCTCCTGTAAATGTAAACAAACTTGTTTGTCTTAGTGATTGGCTGAAGAAGAAGGACTGACTGGACTTGTAGGCTCTGAAGTTTTACACTGTTTTGTTTTTGAGTGCAGTTATGTAACAAAAAAAATCTACATTTGTAAGTTGCACTTTCACGATAAAGAGATTGCACTACAGTACTTGTATGAGGTGAATTGAAAAATACTATTTCTTTTGTTGATCATTTTTACAGTGCAAATATTTGTAATCAAAAATAATATACACCTTGATTTCAATTACAACACAGAATACAATATATATGAAAATGTAGAAAAACATCCAAAATATTTAATAAATTTCAACTGGTATTCTATTGTTTAACAGTGCAATTAAAATTGCTATTAATCACAATTACTTTTTTTAATCGTGATAAATTTTTTTGAGTTAATCACGTGAATTAACTGCAATTAATTGACAGCCCTGGTTTAAAGTAATGCTTAAGATACCTGTAACTGAAAGAAAGGAGAAAACAGACAATATTAGTTAATTTGGTGCTTGTCAGTTGTACTTCCTGTCTCATGCCGTACCACAGCATTGCTCATGCCCTCTTGCAGGGCCTGGGGGAAAGTGTGTAGCGGTAGTTTCAGCAGCAAAGCTGCACGCTGGCAACAGGGGCTGTTTAAAATATTTTTTTCTGTTTTCTCTACAAGCTACTTGAGGAGTGTGCTGGTCAGATACACAAACTTCAACAAGTTAGTTTACAAACAAATCAAGTGGAATGTCCCATTCAGAAAACTCAACTGGTTTTCTGGTTTTCACTTGGCCTCCATCCTAACTTAACTTGTGTTCAGCTTATATGTATGACCAGTGCTGTCAACATGAAAAATGCATGTAGTATTGTTAGCCACACACCATCCTTGGTTGTCCAATCCCCCATCAAGAGCCAACTATCACTAGCTCTTAGACTATCACTGCTGTTAGAAAGCAGCAAGCACAATTATGAAAGAGGTGAAATAAAGATAGAGGGAGCGTCTTGGGGGTGGGGGGGGACAGACCGATTGCTGCTCGTGGCCAACTAATTTAATTTCCCATTTCTGCATTATATTAACTTTTCATAGGCACATAAATTACAATCTCTACTGACAATAAGTCAACTGTTAATGCTCTAGCACCACATGAATAAGGGTTAGAGAAACGTTTGTGAGGCATCATATCATTATGCAGTCAAAGGTATAGCTCCTTTGATAAACTAGTTTATAAACCAGCACCACAATCGTGTAATATATTTTAGGTGATGAAGCTTGACTCACTTTGAAAACACTTAAGACTAATATGGTCCACAGCAAACTCTGTGCCTTAAATTTTGTACAATCATATTGATATATTTACCAATATGAATTACATATTACACACCCAAAGCTATGTTTAAAGGACATAAAGGTTACAGAGTCAAACACTCAAAAGTTAGGAAATGCCTGTGCACCCTTAATTCAGCCCCCTTTGTGTATGCATTATGATACAGTCTTCAATTACATGGTCACATACTATTTTTTCCATCGGACCCCTGCCTCATTCAGTGCATAGGCTGGACGGTGCTCCCGAAATAAGAAGCAATTTGATATTCTGTGTTCTCATTGTTCAATGTATGACTTTGGGTCTTATTTACTGCTCACTATTCAAACCCTGGCTCTGAAGACAGAATTATTAATTTCCTGATGGGCATTTCTCTGGTGCACAATCACTACAGTACTTAGGGCTTCACAAACATTAATGTATTTAACTTCAGAACACCCCCATGAGATGAGTGGGTGGTATTATCCCTGTTGCACAGATGGGTAACTGAGACAGAGACTCAAAGCATTCAAAAGTGTCCACTAATTTTGTGTACCCAGCTGAGATGCTCAAATCCTGATTTCTCAGAGCACTGAGTATTATTTAGCACTTTATATGTTCTACTCCTGGGGGAATTCTGTGCCACTGTGCAAGCGCAGAATTAACGTCCCCTGCACAATAATTGATTCTGACGGGGAGGTGAAGGAAAGCTCCAATTACACCTTTCACCCACCAGGGGCAGATGTGGTGCCAGACGAGAGGGCAGCTGGCTCACTGGCCAGAGCAGCCAGCTGTAGAGAGGTAGGGAGCAGAGGCTGCCTTCCTCATAGCTCCCTGCTCATGGGGTCAGGCGAGGAGGCATGGGATATGGGGGGGCACAAAAGGAGAGGAATATGGGGCTGTTGGGGGAAGTCACACAGACTGGGGTCCAGAAGGGCTAATGGGGGGACAGACTGGGGCAGAGGCACAGGAGCTAGTAGGGTGACAATAATGAGACAGGGACTGGATAGGAGTGGGGGTGCAGGGCCATATGGGGATAGGAGGTGGCTGAATGGGGGTGCAGGGCCACATGGGGACAGGGACAGCTATGCCTGGCTGAATGGGGACTGCGGGTGCAGGACAACCCAGGGACATGTACAGATATGCCTGAATGGGGAGTGGGGTGCAGGGACACACAGGGACAGGGTCAGCTGTGCCTGACAATGGGACAGACTGGGGTCAGCCAGGGTCTGCATAGGGGAGACTCTCCAGCTACCTAACAATCCCTCCCCTGCAAAAAAAAAACCTGTTCCATACATCTCCCACCCACATCCAACAA